CCCCAAAACCCCAAAACCCCAAAACCCCACGTAGGAAAATTTGAATTTGAATGTTCTATAGGTAGTAATATTAATAATTAAAAGATTCTATCGAGTTTATTAGGGATCCATTCTTTAAGTTGAGCACAATGGATACCAATAAATTCGGTAAGAATTTAATCTATAAGTTCTCAGAATGATTCTTCAGCCCATTTATTCTCTTCCATGATTTGAGCTTCTTCCTCGGGTGTAAAGTCGTTCTCAATGTTAAAGAACTTTCTGATTTCTGGGATTGATCTGTTCTTGATCAAACTAGCAACTTTGGCACAAGCGAGTTCAAGCAGTGGCTTAATATCTAAGTAATTGGCAGCGAGAATGAGCTCGAAGAGGACCTCCTGGTCAAGGTTGACGAACTCGGCGTACCAGGGAGTGGTCACGTCGTTTAGGTTATTGGATTTGAGTGGCTTTTCAATCTCAGGGGGGGAGTTGTCCTTGATGTAGGTGCAGAAATCTATGATTTTTTGGAGAATGTTTCTCTTAACGTTGGGCAGAGGGATCTCCTCTTCAACTCCACTGTCGTCGATCATACCTTTGATAAGCACTGACTTTGAAGCAACTTCGATATCAACTTCAACAATTTCACCTTCACTGGTAACAAGCTTCACCTTTGACATTTTATGATCTACTAGAAATTATAATTATTAAGCTTACTAATATTTAAATACTTTTTTTATTCTGTCAAAACATTATTGCCTTATCATCAGTCGTCCTACAGATAATTCATCAACAGTCCAACTGTCACTGAATTCATCAGCTCTCTGTGAAATGATATAATTAGATTAGAGATTTATTTAAAGTTAAAGATACTGTTAAAAATTAGAAGTTTGAGAGTTTTTGAAGAAGATATTTTTATCTAATCATAATTACAGATAGAAGTGAAAATTTCTAAAAAGAGGCTTGAAGGTTGGAAGAATTTCGATATAATTTAATGAATAGTTATCGAATGCAATTATAATTTAAATTAAATTTAAATAATGGAGGTTAAGTGTGCCACATCTTTTGACGAGAGATTCGATCCCAACAATGTCCTTAACAAGTATTCTTGCTTGCATTTGCAATTGATACTAATTCTTTATATCTAGAGATAGCAAAAAGTTTTGGGTAACAACAGGGCTCTACCCCCATGAGCTTCTAATTGATCTAGGCGGAACTAAGCCAATTAATGAAATCAAATTCATATCAACTGGAGGTAATAATCTCTAGATGATTCTCAATATACATATAGCTAGAAAGATTGTGATAGAGGGATGTAAGACAACCAATGCCAGTGAGTTCAAGAAAGTAGGAGAGTCTAAGGGTAGGCATAAATAGTTCTTTAATTTGATTTATAGAACTGATGAACAAGACAGGCATTCAAAATGAAACTGTAAGATTGACTGATGCTGCTCCTTATTGCCTCATAAAGTTTACTATTCAAGAGGGATGGGATGACTTTACTAGTGTTCACAACATCGACTTCAACTGATTAATAAATTAAAATGCATGTTTGTTTGTGTAATATGGTTTACTAATATTTGAAATCAAATCAGCAGTCATATAAAATTTAACTGAGTTAATTCAAATTTCATTCCATTTATTCTCATATATTTATTCTTTTCTTTCTAGTGGGGTTTTGGGGTTTTGGGGTTTTGGGG